CATGGCCTGATTCAATAGGGTACACAAAGCTGAAAGGTTTTGTGGGGGAGCTGTTACTTAAACTCAGAAATACTTTGTTCCTTTCTCTACTGTTAATGCCAGTCCTTAGAGCTTGCATTTTTCTGTTGGTACTTGGCCCCAAAGGAAGTTAACCAGTATTAGTACGGAGTGCTCTCAAAGGTCCAGGATTTCAGGGTCATTCACAAGGGTTGTCTTCTGGGAGCTTCTGCTTCACAGTCATTGCAGACGCAGAGGATATTGGTGCCTCCTTTCTTTCCACGAGGATCAAGTTATTATATTTATGAATAGCTGTACTGGACCTTGGGATCTTTGAGTGCTGAGGTACCATAAGTGTTGTAGCTTGCCATGGAGATGGAGATACTACAAAAAAGGCAAGATGCTTGAGAGTGGTTGGGATGTTACTTGGTTTGTACTCCTTGTACCCTCATCTGAGATAGGAGAACTCATCTTCATCTCATTTAGGAGCACACGGAAACATCTAGAAAAGCATATGCCTGAACTTCAAAACTGTTGGGTGTGAACTGAATGAAATGTGGTTTATATGAACACTTGATTAATGATTCACGTACTGATGTAATGAAAGTACTTTAATTCTTTTTAATTACATGCCGTGCTTAATATGCTAGTGGATAGTTTAAAAATAGAAGAAAAAAAAAAAAGAAGGTGCAGTCAGATATTTCTAAAATGAGGTGTACTCGCTCATTCCTGCCACTGAGCTCACAAAATGGAGTGATTGCAAACTGTAATGTTTTCTTGCTTGGAAGGAGCAAAGGAAACTACCAAATGGGAGAACAAGCCTAAGAGGGCCTCCTGGTATTTGATGTTCTCCCCACCCAGCTTCTTGACACAAGGTCGCGTCTGGTTAGCGATCACAAAAACAGTCACAGTACTCTTTGCAAGGTTTGCTTTTTTCATACTGCTCTCAGCAACCTTCTTAGCATGACAGGGACTGTTTGTTCTTTGATTTTATTTATTTATTTTCCTTCTTTTTTATTTCTTTTTTTGTCCACTTCCAAGTGCAGTCCTGGGAGTAATCCTTGGATTGATTCCCCTCAGTGAGGGCCTAGGCTTTTCTCTATTCCAGTAGCACACAAAATGGTACAGGTACAGACCTGGGGCTCATCATGCTTTCAAGAATGTGTTTCTTTATGCATAAATTTATTTTTAAACATACAGTTTATGTGTATTTTACTTTTAAACACAAGCTGCATCATATAGAAAAATAGAAAATAGCATTCACTTGACAAAACTTAGAGAAAAGTAATTTATTCAGCCATATGTAGCTGCTCTCAGACTTGATTGGCATCCACTTGTGTAAGTGTATTAAGACCACTTGATAAAGCACTAGGATTTTGCTGAAGTGGTTATTGCCTTACGCATTGTACATGGAAGTGTCCAACCTCTGTTATTACCAGTCAGTAGTTATAACTTTCTAATCTGAACCTGCTTTGCCATCATCTGAATTTCAACTCTGCTTGAAATAACCAGCATTGGTAATGATCTCTTTAAAGAAAATTGGCACAAGCTTGGATATTTTTGATGTAATCTTTTGTTTAAGATTAAGATATACTTTGAATATATTAATTTTTTTTTGTTTTATAAGTGATTTCTGTGTAATGTTTTCCATAGAAAGCTGTAAAAAATATTTGCTACAGGCACTGAAATTCAAATTATTAACTTTATGGGATATTTATACTTTTTAACTTTTAAAATAGAAACTAAGGACTTAAATACACGGCAAATGTTTTATCATGGCATATTTATATTCTTTGTAGCATGTAAACCTGATACATGACTAAGTTACATAAATGCCTTGTAGTCTGTATTTGGTGTCTGCTGTTATATTTAAAGTTATATTGATTAGGATCTGTTGATACAGGCCGCAGACTGAAAGAAGTGGTTTTTTTTCTGACAGGAGTTGAGAGAAGTATTTCAGATTAAGTTCTTTCTTTTTATCTAGTGGAGCAATATATTTCTACGTCAGAAATGTATTACTGTGAATATTTTAGCTATGAGATTTGTTGCCTTCTCTGAATTAATTTAATTGGTATTTTTCAGAAGTCTCATACCAACATGAAGTAAATCAATATTTGTCAGCATTCAATATTTGTGAGTCATTCAGTATTTTAGGGAAGTGAGTTTTATTTCCCATATGCAAGTGTAATAATTCTGTGTTGCAGTGAAAAGTACTTGTAGGAGATACAGAGCGAAAAAAGATGTAATTCAGATAAGCTTGATTTAATTTCTAATTCTGTTGCTGCAAAAGTGCCTCACTTGATACTGTTGCTGTCTTATTCTGGCAATTGGGAATCCTGTTAACTTAATTCTGTCAGTGACCTACCTAGTTCTTAACCCTACAAATAAAAATATAAATCTCAAAAGGTATTAACTGTTCTTTTTACTGCAATTTAGCATTATAGATTGTCACGTGAAGCTCAAAGCTTTTAGTGCTTAAACAGCTTAAAATTTCTGTGTCTGTATTGTTAGTATTTAATAACAAATAAGCATCTGCATCAATGTTTTAGTTAAGTGTCTGTTTATATCCACTGGATCTATCCATGTAAAAGGAGATGAAGAATATACAGTCTGCATATCATTCACTATCCCAAATTCAGGGCTAGAAAACCAATTGGGAAAATTCAGTCAAAAAAATAACATTGACTTAAATTTAAGGAAACCTAAAAATGGAAATGCTCAGATTTAGTTTCAGTCTTCCCTTTCTAGCATAGCGACAATTTGGTTTCTACTAAGGTTATGTTAGTTGATGTTGAATTTTTTTCTTCTAAAAGCTTAAAACATCCCTGGCAGTGTTCAAGGCCAGGTTGGATGGAGTCCTGGGTGATATGGTTTAGTGCAAGGTGTCCCTGCCCATGGCAGGGGGGTTGGAACTGGATGATCTTAAGGTCCTTTCCAACCCAAACTATTCTATGATTCTATGAAAAGATTGCTAGTCAAAAATGTCTTCTCAGCACTGATGTTTCACCATGTTGTCTCAAAGGCCATCAGAGCATACTGAGATTCTTCAGTTATGCCAACAGAAAGTGACCTCATAAATTGTCAAAGCTGGCTGACAAAAGGCATTTAAAATGTGTAAATGTTTATTTTTCAATTTTTTTTACAATTTCAGTATGATTTTGGTGGTATTTATTTTAACAGTAAAAATCTAAAAAGCAGAGAAAAACTTTTGTACATGAAAAGGAAAGAAAAGATGCATCCACACTTCTGTACCAGTGAGTCCAGCAAGCCTTTGTGATTCCTGTATATGCCAAAAGCCATATGCAGGCTCTGCATGCTGCCAAAACTTCCAGCTGCTGTTTCCAGGTGTATGCACTGCAGTTCTGCCTGACTGTGAGCACGTCATGTAGCAGTTCTGCACTACCTAGTGATTCTTGTATATAGATTATCTTTTGTGAATAGCATGCACTTTGCCTTGTATAAAGTATTGAGTCTTGAGGCATAGTTTGAAAATGTCCACTTGGAGGGTAACACAGTTTTGTAGTCTGCTGCAATTGAACCGATTAGAGGAAGTTGAATGCAGTGAAAGCACTCCTCTTCATCCTCTGTGCCTGGTTTCTATTTTAAAATGTAGCACATTTTTATCACTGCATCACTGAGCATGCCAAGTGTTGCCTTTGCTGTCTTGGACTTTCTTATGTTAGGATGTCAGTGAGAATCTCAGTTTTTCCTGAAACTTTGCCCTACTGAGAGATGTGGTGGTTCTGTGGTCTTTTGAATTGTAATGGTAGGTTTGGGAGGAAAGAAAATGTGCTTGTGTTTCAATGGGTTTATTCTATATGTTTATTATTACAGCCTTTTGGGAGGTTTTCGTGCTCAACTGACAATGTAGCTTTATCAATTATTGTTATGGAAGAGTCACAAGAGCTGTATTCATTCACGTTTGGCTTAGGTACATGTTAGCTTTGCCCAGACCTCCAAACCTGCCAAAGCCCAGATGTGGAATGTGATGAGTATGGTAAAGGCTGGTGAGGAGAAAGAAAAGCTATTAATGCAGAAAACCTAACATTTTGCCTGTAGATAGTATAATAGAATATTGTAGTGTGTTTTATTGTGCTTTATTTCTGATGTGTTGGCAGTTTTCAGTTTCTTCTGAGTTTTCTGCAGTGAAGTCATGTAGTTGTTTATTCTGCCTGTCCCTAGGAGGCACATGGTGAAATGCTAGGGGTTTTTTGGTGAGTGGCAGAATGGCATGGCTGGCATTCGTATTCTGCTGCATGTGTGTTTCCAGTCCAAATGACTAGGGACCATTTTGGGTGGTTGCTGCTGGGAATGGTATTTGGAGGCGGGTTCCCAGGACTGGATTTACACTAAATAAACAGAGGCTGTGAGGGGAAAACTGTGATTCATTAAGAATCCTGGTTTAGGTTAAAGTGGTAGAAATAACTGCAGGGCATCTTAGATTAGTTTAAAAACAGGGGAAAAGTAGAAGGAATCTAGAGTGTTTTGTAAATTGTCCACTTTTCATTTTAGAGTTCTCTGCCTTACTTTTCCCCTGTTAGCCAAAATAGTCCAACATAGCCAAAGAGGTTCAGCAGTCAAAAATTCAGATTCTGTATACACAAGCTTTTCTAGGCGGTGCTGTCAGTACTATTATGTTTGTCTTCTCTGTTCTGCCAAAACATGTCTGAAAGCTTTTGTTTTCTATTCTGGTTCTAGGCAGGACAGAAGGAACGGAAGTAAAATACCAGAAAACCCATCTACATATCGCAGAGAAGCTTACTACATTATTCATTACAACTGCTTTAGAAATTGCTTCATGAAAGCGATCAATAGTAGACTAGTGAACATGTGTGTTGTATGTTTTATGTAAAGAGGACGTAACTGTTTGACTCGCCCATATGTTCTTACCAGAATGTTACAGACAAGATTTTTTCAGTCTTGCACATTGGCAGAGTTAGAGTGACTCCACTTCCAGCGAGTACTCTGTTTTAAAAAGATATGTCTTATGTTTAACTTTGCAGATCCAGAATGCTAATGATGTGCTAATAGCACCGCTGGAGAAGTTTCGCAAAGAGCAAATAGGAGCAGCAAAAGTAAGTGGCTGTGGAAAGAGTTCTTTTTCATTTCATGTTTATTTGTGTTTATCAGTGTGTTTTGAAGGCTGGACTGAAAACAAGTATTTTATATTCAAACATACTTGATGCCATCCTCATTAATGTGTTAGTAAATTATACTGGAAGCTTTGCTTCAGAGAAGGATACGATTTAAAAATGGAGTTTAAAGACTGATTATATGCATAGGGTACAGCTCTTACAGCTGTTGCACATTCTTACCATCTGGAGTTGCGTTCATATTCTGGTGTCTGCCTTCATGCTAACATTGCATCTTGGGTTAACCAAGGATGGCACAGCTGATCTGGGTGCAGTGGCCCTCAAGTGGCTATTGTATAAAGATGGAAAGAAGTCAGAGTGTTTCAGCCATACTCTCTCACTTGTCTCTGCTTTCCCTCTCTACTTTACATGGCTGATGCAATGCAGAGTATTCATCTTCATGTTGCCCAGAGATTTTCCATGGTGGAAGTGCTCCAGTTGGTGATTTAAGCCAATTCTTTGGTGTTAAGTGTTAAATTTGTGTTAAAGAATTAGTGCAGATTGTCTATACCAGGGTCCAGCTGTCAGCCCAGGAAATGAGATATACTGGGGAAAAAGATGTTGCAATGAACCATTAGACTAAAAGAGCTAGTTTCAGTCTGAACTTGGAGTCTTAAGTGGTTATCAGTGACTATTTTGATCACAATCTCAGAGAAATGCGTAAAGGCTGAGGTGGTCAGTTAGAGATATGTTTAGTAACATTTCCTTCTGTCTACATAAATATGCTAGATCTGAAAGCATTTTGCATCTTGTATTAGTGCTTGTACATTTTTCCAGGAAATCTGCCATTTGTAAGGTTAAATGGGTAGAAAAAAATACTTCTCTTTGATGTTGTAGCTGAGGTTGCTCATGTGCTGTACTCAGCAAACCTCAGAAGAAGAACAGAGCTCTTGGAAAGAGAGACTGAGGGTTTACACTTTTTGTGCTGCTGTTGTGAATGTGTAGCAAACAGATGAGGCTACTTCCGCACAGGAACTAAGTAAATGTTTGCGGAGAATTTTTACTGTGAACTTGAGGTCAGATTTTTCTGAGATGTTTTTGTGTACAGCTGCATTCTTCTCATCCCACCCCTATGCTGCTGTGAGATGCAGGGCTGGGAGTTTATTTACCATGCTGCACAAATCAGAATTTAGTCCCAACGCAAAATTATTTCTAGTTTTCAGTAGGTTTTGGTTGCATTGTTCAGTTCTTTGTGTTACCATTTTGTTTCATATTCCTGTAGTTCACGGGGCATCATTCATCTCTGCAGAGCCCTGTTTGAAAGCCTAAATTGCTGTACTATTGACTGTCCTAGTTTATCAGAGAGGCAAATCCACAGGCAGTTCACAGAGCTCTCTGCAGATGCTCATGTCTCCCTTGACTACGTCACTCAGTAGATGTCAACACATATTTAATGATCTAATTGAAGATAAGTCCTTCCTTTTCTGAATCAAGTATTTAACGGAAAGTCTGGGCTGGTTGAGTCCTCTCTGTATAGGATATCACAATGGCTGGTTTCTTTTCCAAATGACTTCCAGATAAAATATTGACATTTGCCCATCTTATATAATTTGTGGAAATAGTGATCATTTTGACTTCTTTGTGGTCACACAACAGTGTACCGAATGACTTCAGGAGGGAGCCTGGCTCAGTTAAGTCTTATTCCAGTGTCTAATGGACTTTATTATGCAGTGTTGCGTGTGTTTTGGGCAGCCCAGGATACTGGCTTGATACACTGATTATATATATATGTATATATATTTAGAGAGAGAGAGAGAGAGAGCTCTTCCGGGTCATTGTTGTCAAATAAACTCCTACTTTCTTGCATTGCTCATAAAGTTCAACTCTCAGGCTCAAAAAATGAGAGATTTGTACTGCCTGCATAGCCCATATGGTGACACAAACATTTGCCTCTGAATTTATTTGCATCAGTGTAAGCAATTACAGTTGGCCTTTAACTAAATGGAATCAATACAAAGAAGCGAGAGATTAGTTATATTTAATAATGTATTTCTAGTAATTACAAAACCGCAGTGTATGAGCTAGGAATAATAAGACCAGTGTGAAGAGTAGAAATCTGGGCTTTCCAAAAGTCAATGCTAGTAGAATAGAGAATGTGGTGAGATAACTTACCTCCACTTCTGTTCACCCAACTCAGTCCTTGAGTATTTCTGAACTCTTGCAGATGTGGGATGAGTTGAGTTTGCTTGTTATTTGTCTGCAGTTAATGAAGGTGTGCACAGAGATTTGGCTCCTTAAACTCCTCTAGGGTGATCTGAACTGATAGCCAAATAAAAATTAGATGCTTTCTTGTTGCTTGGGTTTCAGATGCAAGTTTCAGAGGACAATGAGAATGTCGCTTTTTTTTTTTGAGGTCTTCTTTAAACACGCCAGCTGTATGGACCATATATCACCTGTTACTTTTTGTTCTGAAATACCGGGTTTGAGCTGGTTTTACCCCTTGTATTAACTTACAACAGCATATAGAATTTCATTCATTTCAGACCCAAACTTGCTCCAGTTTGTCTGCCATCCTTCTCTCCTCAAAAAAACCAGAAAACTTCTGTGTATGTGTTCCTCTCCAAGGAGAGATTGAAATAGTGCAGACACCACAGGATAGCTGATAGTTGTGTCATATTGTGTATTTCTAGAGCTGTGAATTTTCAGTTAATTTGCATTGTAACATCTTGTGTACCAACATTGTAAAAGATAGGTATAGAAGCATGAGGTTAATTATATATATGCTTTTTGTATTGGCAATTTCAGCAGTAGCTAGAGGTGCAAGCAGCTGGTCTTTGTGATCAGTCTTACATTGTCAGACCATATTTTATAAACAGTGATGAGTGCTGGATTCTCTCCCTTTTGTCTTTGAAACGATCAGTTCTAGTACCTTGTTAAGCTGTGTTTCCAAATTTATGGAGGAGAAAGAAAATAAGGGATAGTTGTGTTACCAATATACATAATCAGAAATGATACTAGGTACTACTGTCAGATTTTGGTGAGGGGAAGACTACATGAAAGAGCGCTTAAAAGTGCTTACTTGGCATTTTTTCTTTCTTTTCTAAAACACCAGATGAAATTCAACTGGAGATAAAAACAAGCACTCCCCCCACCCCCACCCCGTCACCCTGCCACACACATGCAGGAAAAAAAAGAGAAAATGTTATAAATTAATGACAGGTTTTTGCTGTGATAATCACTGTTTTATTTTAATAAGTAACTTTTCAGGGTTTTCACTATCATGATGAACTATTGTAGGCCTATGCTACCGCTGTGTCTAATACAGCAAATGAGAGTATTTTCTTCTTTATTCAAAGCTATATCAAGTTTAGGCAAAAAATACTGTCACAGAAATCACAGATGATATGGAGGATAAAATATATCCTGTTGATGTTGCAAAGCTTCATTTCAAATACAAGGACAGCATAAACCCAGAGTGCAAAGTTCAAGTGGTTTTGGAACATCGTAAGAGTAACATTAAAGACTAATACTTCACATGCGCTTCAGAAACCTGAAGGTACCCAACAAATCGAGAAACTTTCCCCATAAAACATTAGTGTTTGTAATCAAACCAGCAATACACAAATCCCTATCACTTGCTCTTCTCGATTTATACTACTCGCTCTTCTGTTTTTATTGCACATATTTCAGTTCTTCCTTTTCTGTACACACTCAGTTTAAATAAAGCTGAGTTCTCTCCAGAGACTACACAAACCCAGCTTTGCATTGGGTAGCCTGTTGATTTACTCCATCTGAGTTTAAAGAAATGACCTCTGCAATTACTGCAGAAACGCGAGCAAAAGCTGGGTGAGGTAACTGGGAAAGGATTTCAGGCATGAAGCATTTTCCCTTTTTTGGTCAATGTGGTCTGCAAGTCTCCAGCTGGTAACATTGGTGAGATCACTGTGTGATGTGTGATGTACAAAAAGGCCAGACTTTCGTGTTCTTTTTATCCACTGAGTACAGTATTTAGCAATATTTGTTCCAATATTCGTTGACCTTTAGTGCAACTTAAATCAGATCAAAGACAACAGAAGCAATTTTGGTTTTAAGACTTAAAAAGCAAGTTTTGTTTCCTCCTTACAGTTCCATCTGTTTGTTTCCTAAAATTATTTATTTTGGCCAGGAGGATAATTTTTTATTATTATTTACTTTAATTAATTCAAAGCTGTGAGTTCCTTTCTACTTGGGAAACAAATCCATGTTCACTGCTGGGATTAATTTTCCTGCATCTCTGTTCATATCTATACTCGCATGATGTGGGCAGGCAGGAGCTGGCACGCTCCCCCTGTTTTATTTGGATTGTCCAGAAGTTGAGGATCATAAACCAAGAAAAAATCACCTGATTTTTGGAGTCTGTCAGAAAGCTGTCAAAGCTGAGGTTTAGCTGGGATCACTAGAAATGCCAGAATGCCTATTTTGTGAACTGGTTTCCTTGGTATCTAATCAATCAATTGCAGCATTTGTTGTCCTTTAACTGAGAAAAACAGCTGACCTTGCTCTAGTAGGTACAGTGGAAGGTGTTTCATTATAAGCAGCATCTGTTACTCAAGGTTTAATACTTGTGTCCACTAGTTTTGTGATATTTTAATGCCAGTTTGAACCTTAGAGGGGAGGAGGCCAGTGGAAGGAAGCAGAAATAGAGGCCAGGATAGATGAGGTCCAAATGTTTGGAGTTAAAATGCAACAGTTTCCCAAAAATGTTTACTACCAGAGTTACCTGATAGCTTTTTTGATAAGAAGCTTGTTCTACAGGCAAGGAAATGCAGCAGTTCAAATCTGATTTGTTTTCAGCAAGGCCTTTAAAGCACCCTGTATTAGACATTATAATTTAGTTTAGACAGGGATTAGTATAGGAAACTCCCTTTGCCCAAGGAACTGGCTAATGGGGAAAGGGCAGTGAGTTTTGTTTATGGGGGAGATTGTCTGGTTAAGGACAAGTTACTAATTAGAAGATCCCAAGG